GAAAAGCGGACCCCGCCTACACGCGGGACAGGCGCTAAAGAATAAGAAGAAGAAGAAGTGAGGGGCTCGTGAAACAGACTGACGTGTGCTGAGGTGGGCGTAGGCTGAACCTGACCGATCTAGCTCCGTGTCGTTTTGACAATTCGTTCAGCAATGTTCACAGAGGTCGGAGGCATAATCGTATTGTTCTTGATCAATCCCAATTCCAACCACTTCCCTCACAGGTACGCACTCTATCACAACGACACTGCTAGATGGGGCTGCGGCTCCGAAAAGAAAGTAGAAGCTAGGGCAGCCGAAGTTTCTGTGCAAATAGATTAGATGGGGGTTATCAAACAAATAGGTCACCCTTACTTCACATGTACCTTCGGACGAAATCTGGGCAAATGGAAAGATCATTCCACCTCGTTCACCGGCAGCAGAATGGGAGAAAAGGAAGAAAAAACAAAGAAAAAAGTCCAACCGGATAGCGCTTGAGAGGGGGGGGGGGCACTGCCATTACTACTCCCGCAAATAGGAGAACGTTTTATGGAAAACTGTGAATCCATGTTATGACATCACCCTAAGAGATCTTTCCCCGATCAAATTATTTATATCTTGGAAAACGAGTTGTAGTGAGATGGTGATATCACAACAACCAAGAAAAACCGGTGGAACTTGAATGGTTTTATAAATGGAAACACATTCATGTAGAAACTTAGGAAAAAAAGAAAATAACGTTCTTTTCCCAGGAGTTACGATCAGCAAGTATCTGAAAGGCCGTAGGTTTCGCGACTATGCGAACCTATTTACCCAGGCTGCCCAGACCATGCTGGAAATTGATGAAGTACTATATACTTATGTTGACATCCAAACAAATTTATTGAATTAAGGAGGGGGGGGGGGGATAAATCAAAGAAGTAGTTCAACTTTCCTTTCGCACCTGCCCTAGACGGAAGTCAATTTAGACAGTAGTCTCACTTCGTGCTCATCAGAAGCGTAAGGGAGAACAAAAGAATGAAACTGTCAAATGAAATTGACATTGAGTTCGGGTCGGATAGTCCTTCTTGAGAAAAGAGCAACCTGCGCCACTACGTTATACTACTACTTCATAGTAAAGTAAAAGGTATTCTGTACATTCTGAAGGTGTTATCCATGGAAATGGGAACTAAACAGAATAAAAATAATTTTTTTCATTCATAAAACCATTACAGTTTTGAAAAAACCTACCACAATAGCTGATATCAGTTGGTTAGGATCTTCAGCGACTGAGATGGGAATGACTAGAAGCAGCAAAATAAATGAATTCATTGTCTACACGTGGAGCTGATGAACATCTGGAGCACTCCTGTAGAGAACCTTTTGCCTAGGTTCGAAAACTTTTTATCGAAAGAGTAAGAAAAACTAGTAACGGAGTAATATTGGGAAATGAAACTGCAGAAGGGAAAAGACGGATTGAAAACTTTCACGAACAACTATCCCAAGCGGGTTGTCGAACGACGAATCCGCCTTGTCGTCGTGTAAAAAGCGATCCGGAACCGTAGAGGTGTAAGGGTCACGCCTGATCAAGACGAGTGATGTTACACATTCGATCGAAATGAGTCGGTCATCAATTTGCTAACGCCTAGTGATCCACGTTTAGGTGTTGATGGATGGGTTTCAGCGGGTGATACGNAAAAAAAAACAAATAACGTCCTCCTCTCCAGGAATTACGATGACCAAACATCTGGGAGACCGTAGGTTTCCTAACTATTCGGATCTTTTCACCCAGGCTGCTCAGACTATGCTGGAGATCAAGTTCACAATGAGTTCGGGCCGGAGAGCGCTTCCTGAGATGTGACCACCCTTTGTCACCAGCCATACCACTACTTCATAGTAACGTTAAAGGTATTCTGTACATTCTACAAGACTCTGAAGGTGCTTTTCATGAAAATGTGAATCGAATAGAATAGAAAAGAATTTTTTATTTATAAAACTACGGCAAAAACAAAAAACCTACCACAATAGCTGATATGAGTTGGTTAGGATCTTCAGCGAATGAGATGGGAGCGACTAGAAGCAGCAGAGGAAATGAAATCATGGTCTATTCGTGAAGCTGATAAACATCAGGAGCACTCCTGTAGACAACGTTCTGCTTAGGTTGAAAAACTTGTCATCGTAAAAGAGTAAGAAAAACCAGTAACGAAGAAATACTGGGAAATGAAACTGCAGAAGGGAAAAGACGGGTTGAAAACTTTCACGAATAACTATCCCAAGCGGGTTGTCGAACGACGAATCNAGAGGTGTAAGGGTCACGCCTGATCAAGACGAGTGATGTTACACATTCGATCGAAATGAGTCGGTCATCAATTTGCTAACGCCTAGTGATCCACGTTTAGGTGTTGATGGATGGGTTTCAGCGGGTGATACGGCGAGCGAACGACGGGTCATAGCTCATATCCGGGTGTGGATGCTGTATAACAAGTACTTCAGGGATTGAACAGGGTGTATTCCCGAAAGGGCACTCGGTCAGTTCACGAAGCAGCGCAGGCAAACGTCAGAATGTGGAGGGTCAAGTGTCCACGACGCACTTAAAAGTTTGTTCTCGTCGAGCGCACTTCCTCCGACTTTCTCATTTCTGGAATGTGGCCACGTGCTTAACCTTAGATCTTGCGAGGAGTCTTGGAACTAGTCCCTACTTCGCCTTCACCCCTTGTGTTCTCTCTCCCTTTTGCCCCCTTTGATCTTTCATTGAGCAGTCCGACGGTGGATGTTCTGGCGTTCATATGACGTCCCGCGAGGGGCACAATAAGTCAGTCTGGTCCAGCGACCACCTCAAAATCCAATGACACTTTTGAGTCATCTGATCTTCGATTTTTTGATGTATGGGGAGCATACCCTGTCTTCCCTGTTCAACAGCAGAGATAGGAATTCCAGATACCTCCCTGCGCCGACGTGGACCGAGATCTAGGCGTTCAACATTTATAATAAATTCTAGTTCTTGAAATCGTTAATTTTGCTTCTGCCTCGAGTTTGGTAGGTGGAATGGAACCTCGGCAGAAAATGAAAGGACTTGGAATTTTATGAATGGTAGTAGTAGGCGAAACAGTTCGGAAACTGCGCTAGGTAAAGGACACGTTGAAATAGTTGAAAGAGTATCCAAAATGAGATTTACTCCAGTAGTGTTTCCTTCTACAAATTAGGCATGACTTGCATTCTGTACAAATGCCTACTCCTTTTGGAGTCTTGAAAGTCTTTTGATATCCCCTTTCATTTACAGTAGTGCTCAAGAGTCTTCGGCCAAATGCTTATTCAGTTGTACTTTCTAGTCGTAACTTCTTTCCTACTGGATCTGATCATGCGAAATTTTAATATGTGTAGCAGCAGTGTATTGGAAGCATTTTCCACCATATGCCTGCAAACTGATCATGTTCTAGATACCCCAAAGGGCTTGAACCTAAAGTCACCTGGAAAGACAGGCACTAGCCCCTCTTAGATTGCTTTCCTTTCTGCCATGTCTAAAGTGTACGAGCACTAACACCGAACTCAGTAAAGGAGAAAAAAGCACAAAAGGTGCGAATAACTGCAGGCGTCACTAACTTTTTCAGCGAAATCTGTTGCCGCATAAACATCTTATTCTAATTATGTGGATGTTACTGCTTTACAATCAAATAGTGTTGGATAAAGCGAAGTATGCCTTAGTTAAAATTTTGAAAACCATACGTGATTTGTTTGCCTAAGAAAAAAGTTATGAACGAAAAAGCGTCAAAGCGTTTGGCCGAAGACTTTGGAGCGGTACTGTATTTCAAAGCCTCAGCAGGTTCCGTACAATGCGGAGTTGTTGTGAGCACTAGATCAATCTGAACTGTAAGAAAGATAAAAGTTATATTTTTCAGTAGTAACAGCGCAATTTTAATAAAAGAACAGAAAACTCGAGTTATTACAACCGTACATTCAAAGGAGGAAGTTGGATTGGTCAAGGTCTACGTAGAGACGGGCAGTTGAATCGGTTTTGTGTAGTCGATTCGCCGATTCCTGTCAGTTGCCTAGTTATTACAGTTCTAGCGTTTTTCTTGCACTTCGATCGATATGCGACTATTATTTTTGGCATGATTCTACTTCATTCTACTTCATTTTATTCCTGTAATTCTGACTCGCTGCGCTGCTTCTGCATTACTCTGCTACACTCCTTCGTGCGCGACGTCGCTCACGCTGCGGAGCGGCCATTTCGATTCAACTGCACCACACCCACTATTGTCATCCACATATGACGGACGAGGGATAGGAGCATATCTCAGGGTGACACCTGATCAGCTGGTCTTAATCCTACTTACTATATATAACGTGTGCCTGTGTGTGTTTGTGACCCCTGTTCCCGTAGACCTAGAGCATCATAATATGGAAGGAGTACAGGTGGCAAGCAAACTTTAATACGAACAAAAGGGGAACCACGAGATCAGAGTGGTAATGGTGAGAGGGCGGATGTGAGGTTGTAGCACTTATTGCCAATATTACCCACGCAGTATGACCCACACATAGTCTGGGGATCGAATTTCAGTTAGGTGTTCACCAACACCAACTAATCCTTCCATCCCTCCGAATATGGTTAATTAGCCCCAGATTCGTCTGGGAGGACAGAAACAGTCAGTCAAAGGTTTTTTCTGCCTATGAGACTGTAAAATGAAATGGGCAGTAAAAGGAATAACGGAAATAATCGATCATAAGTTGCACAATCAATACATTCTATTGTTTTATCATAAAAAATTGTCGCGGGGTCAGTGAAATAAGCTACCTCGAGTGAGCTGGCTGACCCTGAGTGATCCAACTCCCCATCCTTAGAGATAGATGACAGTGAGAGATTCATCTCAACACAACAAGCAGTTTTTATCACAATAATATCACTGTCATGTTGAAGGAATAGTACTCACGGAAGCCCTTTTAAACATAGAAACATCAGTCCGAAAACATAGCCAGCACAATGTGATGAATATGAAGCTTATGCGGAGTTTTTAAATTTTCTCTGCCTTTTATTCAATATAGCCAACGACCATGGCATAACAAAGTTTGTTCTCATACGTTGTGCAAACAAAAAGCACAATACTGTTACCAATTGGTGATTATCCGACGTATTATTCCGTCGCACACAGTCGGTTGACCACGATTAAGCAGCAGCATAGCTATGAATGGCCCTTATATATGGGAAAATTTGAGAGCGGGAACTTGAAATCACATGCAAGTAGAGTGCCTTTAAACGATGTCTACCCTACCCTAAACTTATCTTTTACTTAATCAACCCTTAACTTGCACTCTTTAGGTTGGCAAGGGGACGGAAACGAATATTCAGCACGGCACTAGGCTCTTACAGTAATCCGGCACAGCATAAC